AGGTGGCATGGTTCTCTGAATGGGAAACGAACTCAGACCATGGTGGTGAGAGCACTGAATCTTAACCACTAGACCATCAAGGCTGGCTTGCAGATCATATACCTCCCTATATTCCATCTCCCATCAGACCACTAAGCACACCTGTCACTCATGCTATACATAAACTTTAGGTGCAAAGACAACTTGAGAAAGCCTTTATAAACTACATGGCCTTAATCAGACAGCAGAATACTCAAATTAAAGAGAATAGAATGGGGCCGGCCCCGTGGCTTAGTGGTTAAGTGCGCGTGCTCCGCTACTGGTGGCCCGGGTTCGGATCCCGGGCACGCACCGATGCACCGCTTCTCCGGCCATGCTGAGGCTGCGTCCCACATACAGCAACTAGAAGGATGTGCAACTATGACATACAACTATCTACTGGGGCTTTGGGGAAAAAAAAGGAGGAGGATTGGCAACAGATGTTAGCTCAGAGCCGGTCTTCCTCAGCAAAAAAAAAAAAAAAAAAAAAAAAAAAAAAAAAAAAAAAAAAAAAAAAAAAAAAAAAAAAAAAAAAGAGAGAGAGACTAGAATGACTATAATGAGCCATACCAAGAGTGACCTGTTACTTACTGAAGGCCTACCGTGTGTTGGGCACTGACTTAGGTGCTTCACATATGTGAGTTCCAATCCTCACGACACCTCATGCATTCATCCCTCCATTGTATTCTACACACCAGGCACAATACTACAGCGTGCAGATGCAAAGGTGGGAAATCAAAGATAGGGTACCCGCCCTCCTGGAGCTTACATTTACATGGGAGAAAATGACATTAATCAAAGATCATCCAAGAAAATGTACAACTACAACTGTGCTAAATATTACAAAGAAGAGCTACACAGGCTATAAGAGCCCATTACAAGCGGAATAAACCTTTTTACAAAGGTCAGGGAGGGTTTCCTTGAGGAATCATGATTAAGTTTAAACATAAAGAAAGAGTAAGCACTTCACTGGGCAAAGGAGAGGGATGGAGGTAGGGGAAGAGGCAGAAGAGAAAGGAGAAAGGTGTTCCAGGCAAAAGGCAGATGCAAAACCCCTGCGGCAGGCGGGCACCTACACCTCTGAGGTGTGGCGGGTGCAAGGTGACAGGGAACATGGAATGACTTGGGGCTGGATCTGCACAGGGGCCAGGCCATGTAGAGTCTTCTTTGTCATATTAAGGAATTCGGTTATTATTCTTAGAGCACAGGGAAGAAGACATTACTGGGCTTTATTTTGAGAGTGACATGATCAGGTTTGCTTTTCTAAAGATTGCTTCAGATGATATGGGGATAGACTGGAGGGAAGCCAGAGTAGATTGCTGTATCACAGAAAAGCAGACAAAACACAATGGTAGCTTAGACTGGGGTGGTGGCGGAAGACATGCAGAGGCGGCAGACTGAGAGAAGGTTAGGACACAAAATCCACAGGCTATTCGGGTGGTAAAACAGAGAGAGATGTTTAGTAGGCTGTCCAGATTTCTGGCTCTCGTGACTGGATGGATGGCGGTATCACTGCAGGATAGTGATGCCCGCAAGAGGACCAGATTTGGGGTATAGGTCATGAATTCAGCTTGGAGATATTGAATGTGAGGTGGAGAAGGCAAGGTGGCAGTTGGATAACACAGTCGGGGGTCCAGAGGGAGGTTTAGGCTGGAGAAAGTGCTCACTGGAGTCATCGGCACAATGAGATCCCCCAGAAGAGAAAACAGATTGAAAAGAGAGAAACTTGGAGGAATTCCAACATTTCTCCATCTTCTACATGAGGACACCAAGGCTCACAGAGGAACAGTGGCTTCGTGGGGGTCAAAGTTCTGGTAATAAGAGGAAGCAGAAACAGAGTAAAATATGAAGCCAGAGTACAAGTGCAGGAGTTCACACTGAGAAGAATGCCTTTTTCTGGAAAAACAGGGTAAAACCCCTCAAGGAAACTTCATGACTCAAGGAACACTAAAGAGAAATTGGAATTCTGCTAAAGAGAGTGAACCAGATTAATGCCATAAAAGCAGGAAGGACTTCAAGGGAAGTGATATACAGGTTTCACAGAAATCACTTCTTCAGAGTTCTGTTCAAGTCCCACTTTGCCCCCGAAGCCTTCTGTGATTATACCAGTCCACAATTACCTCTCTCCCTCTCAACATTCATGCATCATGTGCCCATTAAGTGTCCAGCATTACACTACATGTTGAGGGTACAGTGTGGGGTAAAACATGTGCTAAAGTTGCTCACAGGCTGGTGGGGGATGGGGGCAGGCAGATAAGCAAACCAACAATTACATTAGAGCTCAGTTAGTGCTGGGAGAGGGGCTGCTACCAGAACACAGAAGAGGGATATCAAACAGTGCAAGGAATTGGCCAGTGCTTCCCAGGGGTGATGAACCAGAAAGGGGAGTGAGGCTTGAGCCAGGTGAAGGAAGGGAGACAGACAGAAAGCCATGTCTGAAGGCACAGAGATGAGGGAGAAAGCCTGGGGCATTTGGAGGGTACAGTTGTAGCCAGAGCATAAGATGCATCTTGGGGAATATCAGATGAAGCTAGAGTGACAGGCAGGAACCAGGTTTGAAGAGGCTTTGAATGCCAAGCTCAGTAGTGTTAACTTTATCTTGAAGTCTACAGGAACCATAGAAGGGTTTTAAGTGAAGAGTGACACGATCAAATTTACATGTTAAAAAATGCATTTGGGCAGCAGTGTGGGGGTTGGATGGGTCATTCAGGACCACAGATAGGAAGGTCTGCCAGGAGGCCATGAAACTTCTATGAGGCCACCAATCTGCACAGCTTCTGGTGATCCTTTCTAGAACAAGACAAGGCATAGATAAACAACCAAAGTATCATCTGTATCATTTCATTGGCACTTCTCTTCCATTATCTGAATTTCTAGTTAATTTTCCCCAAGTCAATGTCTCATCTCTCCTAGAAGACCTCAGATTCCGTGAGAACACGTATAATCATATCTCACAATTTCCAGCCCATAAGGAGGTGCTCAACAGATGCGCTGAGCAACTCCAGGCTTTCCTGAGACACGAACTAACCAAGTGAAGCATGCTGTGTCTGAACACAGCAGGTGGTTGGTCTCAGGGTCAGGGCACTGGTAAATTTGCCCCGAGCGCTTCAAAGCAGACTCCAGAGATTACCCCAGTCTTTGAAAATATGCTGCTGGTGAGGAAGAAAGGAAGTGGATACGTATTGAGCACCTGCTATGCGCTGGGCCTTATATTCACATTATCATGTTTAATCTTCACAAAGCCTTGTAGGAGGTAGTATTACCACCATTTAACAGCTAGACTAAGGTGTAGAAAGTCATAGGACTCCCCTAAGGTCGTGGAGCTACTAAGTGGCAATGTTGAGTGTCAAATCCAGATCTATTTGATTTCAAAGGTCAAGCAGAGATTGCTTTTACCCGAATGATATGAGAATGGGATGGAGGAAAATGCACAGGCTTTGGAATCAGACAATCTCGCCGTGTGACTCTGAGTCTCATTTTTGTCAAATAGAAAATACAGATCCTAATAACACCAATTTCACAAAGTTATTACAAGATCAAGTATGTGAGAGCCCCTTTTAAACTGTCAAGTGCCCTGCAAATTGTTATTATTTGGTAGAGCTGCACTTTGGAGGAGGACCACTTACAGACCACACACAACCTGAACAGCAGCTGCTTTCAAACAGCACTCAACCCTGCCTGCTATCACAACTGGGCCTTGCTCTAGACTAGACTTTAAATTATTAATGCTCGGTCTCATTGTTACTAACTTAACTCCAGTTCTGTGAAATTGCCTGGGGCAAAACAGAATTTTAATAAAAATTCAATCCTCAGTCATCAATTTAAAAAGAGCTCCCTCTGAAAAAGAAAAGGCTAATGAAGTTGAGAAAAAAATGAACCTAAAAAGGTTTCCTAAGTTCAGGCTAAAGAACCATCAGGGCATCAATTAGAGGTCTCTCTCTTCTCAGCTCTGATATATCTACACAGCTATTGAAAATTATCCCACTTCATCTCATAATACTCATCAATTTTTTATTTTTAATTTACAATCTCTTGCATGGCTAAGACAGCTTACGACATACCTCATCATATCTAAAAGACACTTACAGTACTCTTTCATTCATTCAAAAGAATTTTATTGAGGGCCTCAGATGCTAGAAACTATGTAGCACAGATACAGGAGACATGTCCCTGCCCTCTAGGAGCTTACAGGCTAACACAGCATGAAAAGTCACTAGTACAAAGGGATGGAGCAGTGAATGAGGATCAGGGAGTAAGCGCCATGAGTCAGAAAAGGATGGATCACACAAGCAACACCTTGAGAAGGCTTCATCACGGAGGTAGGATTTCAACAAGGAGAGAGTTTCTTTGGATTTTCACAGGCAGAATAGATTTCAGGAAGAAGACATAATGCAAGGACAAAGAGATAAAGGAAAAGTTCTGGGTATACTTGATTAGGGGGGTTGTCTGGTAAAAACAGACAAGCTTAGCTGGAGCAATGGCTTATGAGGAAAACAGTAGAAGATGAGGCAGGAAAGGCAGCTTGGAGCCAGAAGGAAGACACCACTAACTCTTGATCAATGAATGATACAGTGAATGCGAGTAGTTTGAGGAGAGTCTTCTATTGTGGTGCACGAGATGGAAGCAAGAAGCCCAACTGCCTAGGAGTGAGATAATCAGGGCCTGGACTACAGTGGTAGCTCTGGGAACAAAAACATAGATAAGAAAATATATCAGGAAGGGAAACTGAAGTAACTTTGTCACTAACAGGAAGTGAGGAATCCAAAATTACCGTGAGGTGTAACAGAGCTAGGAAAATCTGGAGGAGGAGCTGATTTGGGAACTGCAGGGATGGGAGAGGGTGAAGATAAAGAAATGTTCTCAAACATCCTTTGGAGGACTAAAGATATCTAAATGAATTTGAATTTTGCAGTGGTCTACCATAACATGAACATCAGATTTTTTTTACTGGATAATAAAATGACACTCAAAGTTTCTCTGACCTTTGTCCTTTGACCTTGGAAGAAATCACTGTAGTGTTTAAGCAAGGAAACCAGTACTGTGTTCTCATCATACTTGATCAAGAAGTAAGGTAGCGCTGGGACTCCTTCTGTTTGACAAAGATCATCATAGGCATGTTGAAGGGCTTGAATCTGCAAACAGGAAACATTGAGTTATTCTCCAGACAATTACATATCTAGTTCTGAGCTAAAAATTAACATAAAAGGTATTTTCAAGCCAGAAGACTAGAAATGACTGATCACATCCCTGTTACTCTTTTGCAGCAAATGAACATAAAAGTGCCTCGAACAATACCACTTCACGTCTATAAACACTTTCCACATGCATGGTGGTGTGTCTTAGGGGCATAAGGGGACATTTATAGTACAGCACGGTGGTTCCCTAAGACATCAACCACAAAGGTTTAGGAGGTATCCAAACATTATTTCTCTCCTAAAATAACCAAGCATGAATCTACCATGGATTAATTTTACCTTTTGAACCTTTCCATAATCTACAGCTTTATTGAGACATACTTCACTTACCATACAATCCACCCATTTAAAGTGCACAATTCAATGCTGTTTTTAGCATGTTCACAGGATTATGCAATTATCACCACAATAATTTTATAACATTTTCACCCATCAGCAGTCAATCTCCATGCACAATCCTTTTCTCTACTTACATTTCTTCTTGGGAAATTAGTTCCACAATACCACAACCTTTGATTTGTCCTAAACGAACTTATTATTTTTTAATCAATAAGGGCTTCTCTCTGGCTTTAGAATTTTGGGTTTTAGTGACTGATGTGATTCATGAATTCAAATCATCTTGCCACTCAATCTTTCCCTCAACAACAATCAGAATTCTTTAGTTTAGGGTCTGTGTTCTACCAGCCCGATTATTTTCATTGCCCTTCTCAGGACCATCTTTAACAATCTTATTATCTTTCTTAAACTGCAGAGACTAGCTCTGTATCATTCCTGATGTAGAAGTTGTGCAACTTGGCATGAGGGTAGGAGAATGTCTTCCGTTTGGTTTCAAAGACTCTCTTCCCAAAGTATATTGTCTTATGATCTGCCACACTGAAAGTGAAGACCACATTTTGGCAAATTCTTGCAGTATTTCAAAATGTTCTTATAATTCCTCCTTATTGGCTTAGCATTTCACCAAATGTCATGGAAAACCTGGAAAAGTATTGCTCACTACTTCTTCAAAATGATTTTACAAACATTTGGTGAAGTCTGCTCCTAGTACCATCTTTGGAGAATGTAACCACCTCTTCATCCAGACAAGTGCCTATTTGTCTTTAGAATGAGCTAGATAAATTACTGATACACATTAAACCCAATTTTACCTGCATTTTGTTTTATTTGTTGATACCTGTTTTGGTGAAAACCTTTGATCCAAGCCCACTGGCCCCTGAATGAGGGGTATACTCTCTGGAAGGCAGAGAGCAGGGGAGCAAAACCAATAGTAGAAGTGGTACTTCTTTAGATCCTAGAAGAAAGAATATAACATAGGATATCAGAATAGCACCGACTAAACCAAAATTCATCTATTAACGTAACTTCCCATAGCCACATTAAGACAGAAAAGCTGATGCACACAAGATATGACCAGCTTATCAGAAATTTCCATCTCCAAAAGTACTCATGATAAAACACAAAATTTATGTCTTTACCCCAAAATAGTCCCACACACCACACACTAATATATCATGATAAACATAGTATACTTTATCAGTCACTTGCTAACAGGAAGTGTTCAATAAGAAACTGACATTATCATCATCACTGTTTAATACACAAAACCACCCTGGGAGGTAACTATTATCACTCCATTTTATAGAAAGAAAACTGAAGCTTAGAGAGAGGTGAAGAACAAAACAAAGATAATATGTGGCAGAGAGGGGAGCAGAACCCTGCTTCCAAAACTTAAGCTTTTGTCCATAGTACCATACATACTCAAGGTTCTACCTGTGGAGGTATGACTTTCAAACACAGTTATCATTCTCTTCACAATCAAATGAATTAAGCATGTTATTAAAGAAGCTGTGCTATTCATAACCTATATATGCCTGAGATAATATAATGTTGCTTTTAGAAATGCCTTACTGGCGAAATCCAAGTCAACAACTATTAAGCACTTGCTATGTACAAGGCAAAACATTAGACACTCTGACAAGAAGATGAATAAAACCCAGTCTGGCCCTGGGGCAGCTCACTCTCTGCACGGAGCAGAGATAAAGTGAGTACATGATTAACTATATGAGTCACAGAAGAGGTTCTAAGAACTGAGGAGCATCAATGATAGAAGAGATTACACCTTCAGGGGTTATCTGACTGCTCCCCGACCAGGGGAAGTGATGCAGGGGCACTGACTCGTGAAGCTGTCCTAAGATACTGTGCCCACTCAGGTTGAATGCTCTTGCCTCTGGATTCCTGCAGCATTTGTGGCCTGAATCACTCATGTGGTAGGATCCCACAGTTATGTGGGTATTTGACAGCTTCCCCACCAGTCTTTTACCACTGAACATCATGCAGTTCATTTGGCTAATTAATATTTCTTCTTGAATCTTGCTAAGAGTAAAGAGTGGATGGTTGTTAGATGACTTTTTACTGAGGTTTAATTCACATACCATAAAATTCACCATGTTAAAGTGTACAGTTGAGTGCTTTTCTAGTATATTGACAAAGTTGTACCACCATCATCAACTCCAGAACATTTTCATCACCCCAAAAAGAAACCCCAATAGCAGAAACTCCCCATTAGTTTATAAGTTAGAAATACTCATTCACAGAAACTCCTCATTCTCCCCGCCTCTCCCCATCCCTTGGAAACCACTAATCTATTTTCTGTCTCTGTGGATTTGCCTTTTCTGGACTTTTCATATAAATGGAATCATACTAGATGACTTTTTAAATATAAACTTACATATAAACGTGTGTCCAGATGAGAAAGTCTAGTAATTATGCTTTCCACAGTCTAATTCTGCCACTAACTGATCAACTGAGAACAAATTCCCTTCTGACAATAGTAAAACAAACTACAAAACTGAAATTAGTGTGTCTGTTCCTATTGAGTCCTAAAAACAGCAGAAATAAAAGCAAAAACACCTCCAGAGATTATTCTCTCTTCTTTGTACTTAAATGCTTTGTCATAACTGATCTTTAGTAAAAGCTTAAATAATTCAAGACGAAGGACTTCACAATTTCTAAGAAGCTTTATCAGGCCATCTTCAAAAGTCAAAAGGCTTGAATTTCTTAGGATTTTTTTCAGGATACAAAGGACCTCAATTGAATTAAACATAAAGCCCTTTGTGTTCAAAGATGTTAAAAGATAGAGACTTGTAGGGGCCGGCCCGGTGGCGCAAGTGGTTAAGTGCGTGCACTCCGCTGTGATGGCCCGGGGTTCGCTGGTTCGGATCCCGGGCGCGCACTGACGCACTGCTTGGCAAGCCATGCTGTGGCGGCATCCCATATAAAGTGGAGGAAGATGGGC